CTTTGCTAAAACCATTTGATATTTGATTGATTCACATGAATAATGCAGTAATCCGATATTATAGATAGGTATTAGGCGAGTAATAAAGAAAAGTTTAACACGAAAAAGTCATTAAAACAATTTTAATAACATTATTTTATAGCCATTCATATTAGCTGTTGTAATGTCGATAAGATTAGGGTCGCAGGTGTTTATCAAGAATTCCTATTCACGCCATATTTTGTTTTTAGGCTAAACAGCTAATGATTTACAAGACACGTGCACTAAACCGTTAATGATTCAGTTATCATTTAAAGATAATATTCGATAATATCAAAAGTTACTTCCCTGGCTAGCTTTTGATTCAGCAACCTTCGCGATAAACGGTTTTGATAAGACCAGAAACGCGGTGCCGCGTGATATTATTAATTTATTGTTCCGTTTATCGGGAAAACACTTGAATTTTGAGTGGCTATTTAGCTCAAGATCATGGGAAATGTATTTTCTGTAGAGTTTTTCTAGGTGAAGGCTGCACCAAGGCTCTTTTAATGAGTTCACGAACGTTTTCCTAGTTAAATCCAAGAAAATCTGTTATAACGAAGTATTTTCCGGAAAACTTACCGAGAGCACACGTAATAAAAACTTGTTAGACGAATTTGTATGCAAATACAAGCAATTAGGAATGCCACAAGGTTGAAATGTTAGAATCTTTTTGTTTTAGAGGATGTTAAATAAATATGAGATGTCATACCCACATTATAATGATAGCCCATAGTTTCCATCGGTAAAAAAACGCCTGTACTTAGGTGTACTTAAGGTGAAAAATATCACTAAAATGTTCTAATGAATTGGCTTTAACAAATATTAGTTACACGTGGATAGCAAAATGTTTATAATAACTTAAGCTGTATCCAACGCGACCAAAGCCGAGTCCAAGACGTGATGAAACCGACTGTCGTCAAATGTTGACATAGCGATCTAAGTTATGTAAGGAGCTGTAGATATAAGAGGGATGTCGTAATATTGACTTGGACCAAGGGTTGTTAGTTCAGCAGTTTAATGGACGTCCAACAAGTTAGTTACCGTTCAGAAACTTACGTAACGGGTTGTATCATTATTACATCCTTACTTCGACCTTGTAACTTTAAACATCTTTAGAGATTCGTGCGTTTTTCGTCATAGGATTTTTTAAAAACAACTTTATAAGGATAGTATGAAAAGTAAAGTATTTTTCGCCTGTTTCATAAAGAAAGTAGGTACCTCTTCGTGGAGGATAAATCTTGACTCATTATTGACTACAACAATCGATGGACCTCGTCCTTAAAAATGCTAGTTTATCGCATGCGACCAAATAACTAAAATACCATTATAATGAGATAAGTAGAAGTTTTATTTACATTTTGTTATCTGGCTGGGCTCGCGTCCGTCCGACACGGATTACTCAATGACCGTGCTAGTCCGCTTCAACTCATAGTAAGCCAATGAGATTATTATACTTTTAAGATGACACTGTTCTAGCTAATTCGACTTGCTGAACAGGTTGTGTGAATTAATTACACTAAATTAACGTAGGTTATATTTAGTCCAACAACGAATTCCAAATTTCTGCGGAATACGTAATTCGCATCAGTAATTCGTTAAATTACCTTTGTCTATATTTTGTATATTTGCAAAATTTATGGATTGATGATATCGATAAAGGCATTTTAATAGATTTTACGTAATTGCACAAAAGATTAACGCACCGAATTTGAAAAATAGGTTAGTGTGGTAGTTGTGGGCGAGGGTAGTCGACCTATAGGCTATTGGCCGTCCCATACTATCGATACTAATGTAAATATTATTTGTAAGCGTAAGGACTTTGTACCTTTCAAGCAGACACATCATGATAATATTTATAGCATTAAAATGCATTTTTTAATTAGTTATTCGTCTTTTTGTGAAGAATTTATCATAAAAACATGTCTGATGAGAACACCTGTGCACAATCTCACTAGCAATCTTTAAATGAAATCATTACTAACCTACATGCTAAAACGAAATCCTTGTTATTGTGATTTCATATAAAGTTCATAGCTATCTGTAATGCTCAATCGTTGAGACTGTCTAGTTAATTTGTAATGTATCATTTACTTTTGATAAGAGCTTATCAGCAGATGCTTCCTTGAATATAGTAGATTCTGACTTTGTCAATAGCAGTTTATTTTATGAACAAACAAATCAAGTTATACCTAAACTTGGTACTAGTACTTGACCTTTGAAAAGTTAATAAGAACAATTTTAGGAGACTGTTTCAGATTTTGATTCCAGAATGTTCTAATAGAGCTAAAGAAGCCAAATCATTACGATGGAAGCGTATATTAGTTATTTAGAAATACCACAGTAACGATAATGCCATACGATAACAAAATGTCACACATGAGTGCTAAGAACAATAGAAGCTTCTACGAAGTTTCACCAAATATCAATGTTCCATTTGGGTCGCATGTGTACCACAATGAAACGATCATAACATATTGGATTCGGGTCGACGACCTCAATCATATTTTGACAGTAAAAACAATGAGAAAGTTCTTTCTATAAAAATACAGTAATAAGGTGCCAGTCAATTGGAAATAATTGTTCGAATGCCTTTGTTTCCTCGAGTGGAAATTATGTTGACTTTGCGAAGTTAAAACGTGTGAACGAATCTCGATCCTTCTTTTATTTTATTATATTCTTGAAGATTTTTTATATGAGTAACCGTTTTTAGAAGCACTTGTAAGGGGCTAGCACTAGCAATTGGCAATGCTAACTTGCCTCTATTGAATAAACTACTAACCAGGAAAATTAAGGTTCTGCTGGAGTACTTGTATATTAAATCACAGCTTCTATTTAAAGCCTCATGTCATACAACGTGCACGTGATTAAACGGCAACAAAATCATACAATTAAGAGTTATTTTCCTCTTTTCACAAAATTTTCAAATTGGATCCTGTTTGCATTGAATTTTCTCAGTGAAAATATGGATGAAACGAAGAGGATTACGTGTTGGCAAACGAATATAAAGCTATGGAAACCGAGTTTTAATTAACGGTGCTAGATTGCGAATAGTCCCAAACTGTTACGTCACGACTGCCTCGTGACGGTGGGGCATATTATAAAACTTTATGCAATATATGCAAGTAAACATGACTCAAACATGTTGAAACTACTTGATTAGATGTCCACTTAAGTTGTGATTTAAAATGACTATGATGAGTGATTGTTGATAAGATGGTTTCAATTGTAGAAATGAGAATTAGAATTGGACATGATTGATGTAATATTTACCCCTCGTCTAATCCTTCGATGAATACAAGTTCAATATACTGTTATCTATCTATGTAGAATTGTTTTAGTAAACAACAATTATAACACAACCATTTTGAATAGAACAGACGTATGTCCACAACTTCAGTTACGTAATATTAGTCTTTCGCGTTCATCGCACTAGGTTTGTTTTTTTTTCTATTACCTGCCAGAGGTAAAGCACCGTTCAAAATGGCGATTCAGGTCCGACCGGAAATAATATTCAACGTGCCTAAAACTGGATTCATGTCGTGTCTATTTAGCGTAGCGTTTCCTACAAAATATTTATACAAGTATAATTAAAATGCAAATCACAATTTAATATCGTGCGATAAAAAAATATCTACATTACCGTAATTAAAATAAATGTGGGCCATCTTATCATGGCGTTGTCTGAGAATTTCTTCGGAACTTTATACTTGACAATCAGATGATTCATGAGATGTTGAAAGCTTCCAGACTTGTGCGATAACCTTAAAGTCACGGTTAATTAGTGGATTTATATGTTTAGATTTACTAGCAGCAAACAATGAACGTTCTTTGATCACGTATGCTTTGATAACAGCCAGAGAATCGATTCAGCGTATTTATGCATGACGTGGAACCCCTTTTGTTTTGTGGTCGTCGGTTCATTACCTCCCTAAGCATATTGTAATATTAATGATGTATGTCGGAACTGAGTGGCACGTGCCTGTCAATTATACCATAACGATAGACCAAAATCCATCACAAATAAAGCCAATCTGAATATTTGATTTAAAACACATTGACCTTCTAAATGGCACACTGAACTGCAGTGGCATTAACGAGTTGGAATGTGGAGGACAGTTTGAAGGGTCTCTGTTTATCCTGATTGTGCTCGTCTAAATGCGATGTAGGATAAAAGTCCGTCTTATCTAACGGTGTTCTTGAAGAAAACTTTACACTGGTTTTTAATTTGTACTTTTTGGTTGAACAGTTGTAAGGGCGAGTCGGGTGACCTTTAAAAGACTCCGCCCAGAAGCTAGTTTGTGGCACGGGTGTAGAGTTCGACACCCCGCCTTCCTTTATAAGCGATACGATAACACTCACGAACACACCTATTATACACAACAACACACCTATTTATATACTTGACATATTCTAATATTTTTATATGCTTTACGAAAATTACATTTTATTTAGATTATTAAAATAAGTTATCACTGCTTCTATCAAAAAAATGGGCCACTGGGAACTGACTTATCGCCTAAATATACTCTACTCGTTGTTTAATTAACTCTGTTGACCGTTAGTTGTAGTAATAAATGAGTAGGATTCAGATAATCGAAACAAAGTACTAATTATTAATTAATCAAGTTGGGATTCTGACTGCGTGGCTGCAGTTAGATAATTACTGAATAGATTGCACCGTTGTCGTGGTTTCCTTTCCCGCACGGAACAAGTCTTTAATCCACAAATTGCTGTTCCGGGTGGGTGTGATCTCTATGCGAAATTATATGTTTGAATTCGCACACAACACAGGAGAAACCTATAGCCGGACAACACTATTAAGAAAAGAAAACCTTCATAACAAAAAATTACACGTTTTGAGAACTCGTGTAACTAAAAGATGTGATTCCCTTGTCGCTTAGAGTTGTCGAAATTAAATCAGAGTCATAATAACGTTCTGTGAAAATAAATATTGTTATGTTATATATTTTTATTTGCAGACGATCATGAAGAAGTACTGTCCGTCTATCGCAGCCGGCGGCCTCTCCTGCTGCAGCGACGAGCAGCTGGACAATTTAGCTTCAAAGATCATGCCAGCTGAGAATCTCCTGCAAAGATGTCCGTCTTGTTTCGAGAACTTTGTCCAACATATATGTGGGATGACTTGTTCGCCGAATCAGAGCGACTTTTTGTATCCCGCAGAAGTTGTTCCTTTCAATTGTAAGTCCCTTTTATTATCTATTCTTAGAGGAAAACCTCTTGCGTAACCATAATGTAGTCTTCTTCCATTGTTTTCATCAGCTACACAATTAAGTTACAATATTTATATTGAATATAAGTGAATATTAAACGGGTTTGCGTCCAGTTAAGAAACTGACGTTCCTTCTCGTCTCACCCAGAGAGAAGTGGTTTGATAATCCTCCCCCATAAAAACGTAAATTTGGTTCTAAACAGCAGATGTATTTGTTTCCAGCGACCCACCAGAAGATCACCACAATCACCTACGATCTCAGTGCTAGATATATGAACACCACGTTTGAATCCTGCTTACAGGTAACGTAACATTCAATTTGATATCAGAAATCATGAAATATTGGTAGTCAGCCAAATCTGGCTAAAGCTCAATGCCGACTCCAAAAGAAGCTTATTGGGAAAAGGATAGAAAAAATATATCAGTGATATTGTATACTAGTCTTTTGTGACATTGTTACTAAGTCCATAATACAATACTCAAGTGTATTTGCTTTGAGTATAGCCTAAAGCAAATTATTACTCCAGCATTTCTCAATTACTCAATGTTCATTTGATTGTTTTTATCATTGATACGTGTAGATATACACACCGTGAAAAAATAATTGATGTGATTCATTGATATAATTAACTAATATCAAAGTCGGCTTTATTTCTTTTAAGTATTTTATCTTCAAGTTAACCGAGTAACGATTACGGCACATGTTTTCGTTAGTTCACCTGCATACATTTAGATTTATGATTATTAGTATGTTGTGTATTTGTGTATGAGTCAGAGCTGCATACAACGAAATGACGAAATATCGTCACGTGTGATACAAACAGTTGAAATATATAGCCTTTCCACATAAATGTATGTTGTTATCTATTATAAATAAATGAATATGATATGAGACGTCTATTGTTTGTCAGAAGTTGTAATAACGGGATTTCCATTCAATTAGGTACTTGATTCTTTTTTGTTATCCATGATCAACATTTTAAAGTTAGATAATATTTTTCTAGGTTTTTTTTTTTAGTTTTTTCCCGTATGTTAACTGATGTATACAAATATATTTTAACGTTTCAAAAGTAACCTGTATATGGTTTAGTTGGAAGTAAATGATTTTTGTTTCTGACTTTGAAAAAGTATGTATACCCATGAAAAAAAAATCAATAGAAAGCTCACTGAATTTTTTTCACTTGAATTGTTTAATTAGCGTTTACAGCTAAATTTATTTACAGAAGAGGCTGTAAGTAGGCGTGTTTATCTTATAATGGAATTGTGGGAATTGTTATTGTCAACATTCCATATAAATAGTAACGAATGCTTCAGTTTTGATTATGCAAATTTAATAAGAATTCTGTTTGAGTATACGAATTACATAATTTTTTTAAGTATAACATTATTAAGAAAACGATGACAAATATGTTTCTGAGCGTTTCTAAGCTTGTTGTCTTGTTACAAACAGGTGCAAGCGCCATCAACTAATCAACTGGCTCTAGACCTTATGTGCGGGGAGTACGGTGCAGAATACTGTACGCCGGACCGGTGGTTCAAGTTCATGGGAGACGTTACGAACTTCGCGCCCTTCCAGATTAACTACGTGTCTGATCCAGTACCTGAACATGGTCTGACGCCCTACGATCCAGTCACTAGACCCTGTAACGAAGGATCACCCGTAAGTTTCATTTTAACTCGTTAATATATACTATTTTACTTGTTTTCACTTTTGTATGTGACTGATTATCTCTTACTTTAGGGTTATTGAACTCTATTACAATCACAATAATATTCAGAAAAAATAGGTAGATTTTCATTCACAATTCAAGTACTATCATCTGATTGATGAAAACAACCTATCAACCAGTTCATTATACCTAAATACTGAGAATGAAACATAAGTATCGTAATCATTCAGTTTATTTGCAGATAATAAGAATTTTCCCTCGTACGATTGTGTTAGTAACAACCTTTATCTATAAAAGACCTTAGATTAATATTCGACGCGCGTGCGCTGAAAGATACAGGCCGTTGATTCTCTATCGGCTTAGATATACACGATTCATAATTTAAAAAAACTGATAAAACTTATATCGTTTCATGTGAATGACTAACATTTATCAATGGCGAAAATCTATGAATTGGATTTTTGAGTTTCTGAATGAAAAGAGGAAAATGTAGGTGGGAAATTGAGTTGCGTTTTTTTAACTGTCTTCCTTGTGACAGTCTATTTATTAGAAGTTTTATTTTAGTATTTCAGATGATACTAGAATTTCGGGGCCATGATCGATGCAGGACAATTAATTTGGCTAACACAATATTGTAATCTAAATCTTAATAACGACAACATTCGTATACAGGGTCAGCCGGGTTGTTCGTGCCTGGACTGCAGTGCCTCATGTCCCGCCCCACCACCGCCCCCACCCCCAATGGTTCCCTTCACCATCTTGGGAGCTGACGGGTACGCCGTCATCATGGCTATCGTCTTCGTCATCTTCACGACACTGTTCCTCTCAGGAGTGTTCTGCTGCACCCCCCAAGAGAACGCCGTCGGTGAGTACAACATTATTATAAAATTCTAACCAAATTGATTCTAGAAACTTCTTAAAAGTTTTAAGTGTTTGGAGTGAAATCTGGTCAAACAGGTTGTAATAAAGTGCAAAACATGCTAAGTCAATTAAAAAAATTCGTGATTCAAAGTGTATCCAATCGCATACTCCAAACATTTAAATGTCATCTATAAAAATGGCTGTCTAAGTAAAATTACTTTTATGAAACTGTTTTAAACTTATAGGATCAAGAGTTAGGAATTTAGGGTTCTTATAATATATATATAGACACAAATACAAACACCATGTAATTTTCCAATGTTTGAACACACTACTTGTACAAGTATTCACCTCATTTATCTCTATTCTTTTCAATACATAAGAGATATATTGTCAATACATTTTACTTCACAAGTACAAACACTTAAGGTTGTTATTTATTTGTTTATGATATATGTATATTCTTATATATTACTTACATACTTACTATAATGATTCTGTAGATATTCTTCTGGAATGTTCTATATCTTTGTGGAAATACTAATAACACTTCTAATACTTTATGTAATTCCGTACTAATTAACCTACTTAATATTTAACGTGAAATGTTCGTAGAATAAATGTCTGGGAACTGTAAGATGTTCTGGGTAATTTAAGCAATTGGAAATTTACTTAAGAATGATTACCTAGTAGTGTAAAAAGAGATTCATGGTTGATATCAATCATGAACGATATTGTATAACACGATTCAATGCGAATTGCCATCAATTAAAAATTAATTTAAATAAATCAATACGAAAAATACACATTTTAAAACAGATGATTTACGAAACCATCTGTTTATATCTATAGCCTTATCTGATATAAAATGTCCAATTTGTACAAGGCAATTGAAGCATACATTTTACTAATTGTTAGCATCCTTGTTGTTTTAATTGTGTTGTTCGACTCAGTTAAAGTATGGCAAAGTGTCTCTATGTATTTATTAATAATAAAAATTAGTGGGGCATTGACCATGGCTACCCCAATATATGTTTTGTTAAGATTACCTTAATAAACCTTAACCTAATATTTATGATGTCATACCTAATAAAAACTGGTCCTGGAAACGTATAAAATATAAACTGTGTACCTTTGAGATTAATACAACTAGAATAGTACCCTCGACTACCTTACTGACGGAACAACTATTACTAATTGATATCCCCTGCAAGTCTTATTACATTGTTTGTATTACATCATCATCTATATGATGAAAATGCAATGTAATGTTCAGTTTTCCTACTGAAATAGGTGCGCGGTGCAAAAACAGGAATAGGTAAATTAGTGATGCTAAATCAATTATTCTAACAACAAATCTATTCCCATTCCCACTAAACTAGGCCTAAGAGCGGTACAGTTTTGCTAGATAAAATTGAAATAGTTATGTAGGGTGCTGGTAGTAGTTAGTCAGTAAGGTAGCGCGGGCCTGTTGGGTCGTGGTGACGTAACGTTGGGTGGTGTTGGGACAGACGGTTGGGCGCGCAGCGGCGAGGCGCGGCGACGCGGCGGCCCCGAGACCAGTCCGCTGCACTCGCACCGCTCCAGTACGTACCGCACTACGCACTCCGCACCAAACACCACATAAACCTGATCTATGCATCGCGTTGCACGATTAATAGCAAACGATTGCGCTATAACCATTTGTATTTCAATACAATAATCGTTACACTAAACGAAATGAAAACATTATGCTCTTTGTGTAAAATTTGCGCATTTTGCGCAAATGCTTGCGCATGTTCGTCACCGAAACTTTGTTTCTAAATTATTATTTTAAAAGTAATTTACAATCGTTTGTTATTAAGAAATGATATAAAAACAATGACAACGTAGTATGATTGTTACGCTATTAAGATTTGGTTTATTACCTCATTGTTTTATTTTAAATACTTCAATTCTGTCATACAGTTTGTACACTCAGTAGCGTATTCATTGTTTTAGCCTTATTCTATTTGTATGCACAGAATCACGCTTGGGAGAGATTGGTAGCCTTTTCCATACGCATGTAGCACGTATGCTTAGAAATGTGATTTGAATCTATCCTGTTAACATGAAATCTTACACATAAACACTTATTTGGACAGAGAGAAAAGAAAAAACTTTCTGTCGTTAGTATTATCGTCCTTATTAAGTAAGGACTGTGACGTAGATGTAATTTTAAAGCAATTACGCTGCCATAGCTATAATGATATTACTCTGAAGAAAAATTGTAACCACAGAGTGTTTCGGTGTTCTCAAGTCGTGCATGTTTTATTGTTCATTCGGCTTCGTTCATATATGACTTCATTGACGAACAGACTGACGGACTATTACTTCTACATATGTTGACGTTTTAGAAATAGCTGTTTTTTTTGGAATAAATATTTTTGACTTTTAACTTCATCTTTATTCATTCTTGTTCAAATTTATTTATTTTATTTGCATGTACTTGAGACATTCGATGATACATTGCTTAGTAGCAGTGCTTCTTCCCTTCACCACATTTACTGGGGATTAAAGAATTTAATTTTTATTCTACCTATACTGGCAAATAAATATGTCTACGAGATACACTATGGAATCTAAAATTGTAATTTCTTGATAACTTAGGACTATTTATTTTTATAAAACCTCCCTTTCTTGGTACCTTTTTTACTTTAAGAATTTACTTATAATTATTCTTAGATTTAGGGAATCTGCATGCTATATTTGTTTCTTGTTCCTTATTACACAACTATTTTATGTTATTCATGTATGTATGTATGTGTACGTATTGTCCTTTTCATACACAAGTCGTTTTGGCTTTTGTAATCATTTGTATTTGTAGGTAATGGTAACCGTCGTGTTTTCAAATAGTTTGTGAAGTTTTTTAATGTTTGAGAAAAGTCTATGCATGGGGGTTTTACTAACAGGGGAAAAACAATATCTTCGATTTTAAATATTTTTCCTCGGTATTATGTTTGTTGTTGTAAATATTTTAAATAATAGGTCCACCGTCTATTAATTATACAGATTGGGTTTCATAAATGGTGTAATGTAGGCATTACACTAAAATATGCACTTCTGCTTTTTGCCATGGGGAATAATTGAATGAAAGAAGTTGTGCCATTCAGAAAACAAACGATATTTTATTATTTGATGAGTTCAATATTTCATGCATGGACTTTTTATTGTTTTATGTTTTATTGCAGTAAGATAAAGCTCTATACACTAGCGGTCGATAAAGTTACAATAGCAATTTGATTGGTTTATTGCTGCCATAATCATGTTATAACTTTACAACTAAATGTTAAACAGACGATAATAACGAGCTTTATCTTACTGCTACACAAAATAACGTTGCTAATGGATTATTTTTATAAAAATAGGCGTGGCTTCAGAGAACAATCAGGAGATGGCAACGACTCCTAGGACACTTGGTTGGTCTGCAGACCAGCCTGACGGTGTGGCTGGCGAGGCGTCGTTCTTTGAGAAGCTTGGAGCGGAGACTGAGACTAAGATGGAGGACTTCTTCCAGTGGTGGGGATACCACATGGCGTCTCGACCTTGGCTCGTTCTGTTTGTAGGTGAGTACTCGTAAATGTCTATGTACTCTACTCGAGAATTGTTTTTTTTTTTTTCAGTAGATTTTGTATTGTATATTGGGTTGCTCGATTTAATATGACTGCATGGCTAATGCAACCTGTCGTGGGTTTAATAACTGCACGGACAAAATTTTTGTGTGATACACAAGTTGTTGTTTCGGGTCTAGGAGTAATGTTTATGTGAAATCATGTTTGTAAACGCTACCACGACACGAGAAAATCCTGGTGTGGGCAATGTATCTTTGTTAAAAAAATGGATTGCAAAATGTGTTGGTAAGCGCATAACTCAACAACGCATGGACCAATTTTGTTAATTCTTTTTTTTGTTGTGTTTCTTATTGTCAGGAAAAGGTTCTTATCAAAGAAAATATTAGAAAAGAAGAGGGGAAGATTATGTAAAAGTTACCCTTTGATAACGAGGTACTTGGACCCGTGCAAAGCGGGGGCGGGCCGCTAGTTAAAAAATAATTATTTAAATTTGCATTTCTGCGCAAAAACAAATATTTATAAATTAGATTAGACGCGTGTATTATAATATTTTTTTTCCTTCAGGTCTATGTGTAGTGGTGGGTCTTGGCCATGGCATTAGCTACATGAGGGTGACAACCAACCCAGTAGAGCTCTGGGCGGCGCCCAATTCACGTTCCCGTATGGAGCGCGAATATTTCGACTCGCACTTTGAACCATTCTACAGGTAAACTTTAGTTTAATTACTTTGTAAATTAATGACTATTAGAAAAGTATCAGGTTACTTTCAATCGGCCGATTGGAAACTTGGCAAAGATCTAGCTACTGTTACTGTACTTAATAAATGTATCTTCTCCAGAAATGAAATGTTGATCATCACCTCCAAAGGCCTGCCTAAGATTGAGCACAGCACACCGAACGGTGACATCAGCTTTGGACCTGTCTTCAACTCAACTTTCCTCAAAGATGTGCTGAATTTACAGAACAAAATCATGGGTAAGAAATAAACTTACGACTTTCTCTTTTGTTGGGTGCAATGCTGATCCTAAATTCTCCAACATTTCATGGATTCTATTAGCCTTATAAACCTCTTCAATCTTTCTATCTATTAAAAAACCGCATCAAAATTCGTTGTTTACGCAACAAATCCTAAAATAATTAAGCATACATAGGTATATAGGAACAAAAAAGCGACTTTGTTTTATACTGTATAGTGATTCCTTATTACTCGATTTCACATAGTCAATTGATGTCTTCTTTTTTCTTTTTAAATATCCGCATATTGAACGCCATGATACATTCTGCCCATCTTTACTTCTGGTGTATCAGTTTATTTTTATTCCTACTTGAAATAATAATAATATCATTTGAACATGGTTTACAGCTCTGGGCAACGAGACAGGTATCCAGGACATTTGCTTCGCTCCCCTGACGTCATCGTTCAGTGGTCCCATCAAACCGTACGACTGTGTGGTGCAGTCTATATGGGGCTGGTGGCAGAATGATATCAGTAACTTTGAATTGGAAGAAGAGGATGGAGAATATCTTAACACCATTCTAAAGTGCTCTAGGTGAGTAAAACAGTATTTATAGCAAAAGTACTTAATTGTTTTAAACACAATTGTATCAGTCTTCAACCAACCATTGCAAACTAGATTTACGCTATGTCAAAAAGCCGTGTTGATCTTTAGTTTGAAAAGCAACTAATTAACAACTAAAAATAAGCTATTAAAATACCTGGTTTTGAGTATATGTGGGAGAGCTATGCTTCGGCATGAATAGGTCGGGCGACCGGAGTGATACCACGGCCTCACAGAAAACCACAGCTTTGTGTTTCGCCGTGAGGTTACCGGAGGCTCAATCCCTAAATCCCAATCCCTAAATCTCCAAATCCCTAATCCACAAAAGGTCGGCAATGCACTCCTAGCTCCTCTGTTATTGCGAGTGTCCATATGCGGCGCTGATTGCTTACTATCAGGTAATCCGTCAGATCGTTAGCCGTCGTCCTATCTCATAAAACATTTTTAGTAATAGTAATATACGTATGTTTTACCAGCAACCCGTACCTACCGGTATGCTTGGGCTCGTACCGCGGTCCAGTACTCCCCGCAGTGGCGCTGGGCGGTTTCCTGGCGCCTGGGGAGGCGCTCAGCAAGCGCAGTCGGTTCCACGAGGCCACCGCACTCATCATCACTCTACTCGTCAACAATAAACACGACAAGGAACAGGTAAACAACGACTCAATACACTAAATTTCGCAATACCATTTTGAGAAAGCAAGTAACCAATTGGCTTTACACCTAAAAATATGGTAACACACTTGCACGACTTAAATACCAGTAACTCGTAATAAAAGTTTGTTATAAAACTGTTGTAAGTTGACAATCGTCTAACTACCATAAATAAGGGACCCGGTGTGGCTCGAAATTAGTCAGGCATCCCCGAAATATAGTGTCGCTTAAGTCATAAATACATATATACTAAACATTCTACATATAATTGTTTTTACTTATAAATAACCTTCTACTAATATTAACAGTAAATATATACATATTAAACTAACAACTTAACACTGTTACAGGAGGAGCTCATTGTCAATGATTTTATCGATCGGTATTATATTATAATACGAGATGGAATTTATTCATAAAAATAAACACCCTCTCACATCCCTTACCGAATAATTTTTACTAGCATATATCTCGATTTAAACTTAATTAAAATAATATAAAATCGAGATATATGCTGAAAAATTCGTTTATAGAACGTTATTTTCTGGAATGTTGAGCTCTTTCCTTTTATTATCTATTTTTTTTAATCTTTTTCTTACTTTTTTAGACGCTATTTATTTTTGAGTTCCAATTTCAAAACTACGCACTACAGTCGGACAATGTCTTAATGTTGTTACTGTTTACAGTTGAAACCGGCTTTGGAATGGGAGAAAGAATTCATTGCGTTTATGAAGAACTACACTGAGACAGAAATGCCGCCGTATATGGACATTGCGTACACTTCAGAACGTTCCATTGAGGATGAGTTGGAGAGAGAGTCACAATCGGACGTGTCCACTATTCTGGTTTCTTACTTCATCATGTTTGCCTACATTGCCATCTCGCTTGGACGGTTCACTGGTTTCTCAAGACTTCTTATTGATAGCAAAGTCACCTTGGGTCTTGGAGGTGAGTTACTCTAAGTATTTGAAACAGTTTTGTTTTCTTAAAAAGCATTAAAATATCCTCATTTTTATCTTTTCGTATATAAACAAGAGGTTTATTATAGTCTTACCTTAAAAATTACAACATCAACAATAAAAAGAAACTAATAATTTATTATCCCTGATTTATTTAAAATTTTCTCCGTTATTTCTGTTTATACCTTATGCTTATCAGTTTATTAACCTTTTAATAATGATCCTGTTTGTTTACAGGTGTGACGATCGTGCTAGCTTCAGTAGTATGCTCAGTAGGTATGTTTGGTTTTGCTGGAGTACCGGCGACGCTGATCATCATTGAAGTTATTCCTTTCCTCGTACTGGCTGTGGGAGTCGACAATATCTTCATCTTGGTACAAACGAACCAGAGAGAGGGCAGGCGGCCTAACGAAACTGTTGCTGAACATATAGGAAGGACGTAAGTGTTATCTGAACATTTTCTTGCTATAAGGGAGACTACTATTCATTTCTTTGTCAATATACGACAAAAATACAGTCAAATATTTGATAAAAATTTTTTCTTTGTCGTTAAAATGTGCCTAGAGTGGCCTATTTGAAATAAAGGATTTGACTTTGAATATTAAATATGGTGTATTCTTTCCAGACTGGGTCAAGTAGGTCCATCGATGTTCCTGACATCAATGTCGGAGTCTGTATGCTTCTTCTTGGGAGCTCTCTCCGACATGCCGGCAGTGCGCGCCTTTGCCCTGTACGCCGGCGCAGCGCTACTCGTCGACTTCTTGCTACAAGTCACCTGTTTCGTAGCCCTACTGGCTATTGATACTCATCGGCAGAATGCTAACAGGTTTCTATTGTTTGTTTTTTTATATATATATATTAAGGGCTGATTTTTTAATGGTAAGATAAAAGTTGTCTGGAGAATTATGATGCTGTCGCGTCATATTGTTTGTATAAGACAGGGACAGCAACAATTTTATTTATTTATTTATTTTATTTTACACTTTTGCACATACATCTGTGTACAAGGTGGACTTAATGCCACAGGCATTCTCTCCCAGTCGAACCTTTGGGCTACAATTTGATTCCTCTTTCTTTCCTAACATTTATCTGACTATTGAAGAATGAGCCCTAAGTATTAGGTTGTAGTTGTATTATGCAGTAGTTTGATTCATACCTCTACAAATAGTAGGTTTTTAAATGTGACGTCATAAAACTAGGACCCCACCTACCCCTTGTCATGTCACATTTTGTCGACCAAGCGTGTGACGTACTTTGTGGATGACCCCTTATTTTCAAACACTATAAGCAATTTTCCCCCTTGTCCAGGTTCGACGTGCTATGCTGCATGCAGGGCACGAAGGCGGAGGGCGGCAGTGAGGGCGGGGAGGGCGCGCTGTACAACGTGTTCCGCCAGCTCTACGTGCCCTTCCTCATGAAGAGGGAGGTGCGCGCCTCCGTCATGATACTCTTCTTCGCCTGGCTCTGCTCCTCCGTCGCTGTGAGTATACACTTCTAATTCGTGTCCCTTTAATATTTTATTGATCATAAGTTGACTTGCGCGCTTGGCGCTTTGCCAACCGTGCAGACTTAAATCTATGAATGATATGGTATGAGTTGGAACCCAACCGGTCAAATTCAATACTTTTATCCAAATGTCAAAAACTATATTCTGCTACGAAATCGTAAGTCGTGAGGTCAATTGTATTGCGGCGCCAAATAGCTTACTTATTTCTTAAAAATATCGAAAATGAAGTATATCGATAGATAGGATGAAAGCATAGTTATTTGTCAATATTTTATTTTGTGGAAACATCGCAAGACTTTAGTTCTGAATAAAAAACTACTCAATTGTGACTTTTAAACTACACTGAAGAAGAACTTGATATCAAGTTCAAAACACTAACTAATATTACGTTCAGAGGCGTCTTGTAGTCTATAAATAGACTTTAGTGGACTTTCACAACACCACGCACTCACTCACTTTCACGACAACTACTCGTCTTTATTTTACTCTAAGTATCTCTATTTATTGTTTAACTAAAATGTGTTTTATTCCCTAGGTGGCACCTCACATAGAAATCGGCTTAGACCAAGAACTCTCGATGCCTCAAGACAGCTTCCAGTTAAAATACTTCCAATACTTGAACCGCTACCTGAACATTGGACCCCCAGTATACTTCGTAATCACTGAAGGCTTAGACTACTCGGATTTGGAGACACAGAATATGGTGTGTGGAACCAGGTTCTGCAGGTCAGACAGTGTCTCTATGCAGCTGTATTCTGGTAAGTTCGCAATATAAGAAAATAAGATCTTTGAAATTAAAAAAAAATACCGAATTCACAAAATACATATATAGATATGGTTATACATACTTATAATACATTGTATAATGTTCGTTAAGATACCGTTTTCTCTTACAGCGTACCGCACTCCAAATGAAACATACATAGCACAGCCGCCCAACTCCTGGCTCGACGACTTCTTCGACTGGGCGTCATTGAAGAGTTGCTGCAAATACTTCCCTACAAACTCTAGCTTCTGTCCTAGTAGCCGTGAGTATACAAATACAAGAATTTAATTAGTTTTTTTATTCTGTATCTTAGGACTAACACAAGATGTTTTAAACACAGGTGGAGCGCCCTGCAAGGAATGTCAAATCGAACTTCAAGGCAATGAACAACGTCCGAACGCGGCCGACTTCAACCATTACGTGCCGTTCTTCTTGCAAGATATTCCGGACCCAGATGGTTGCGTAAAGGGAGGTCATGCAGCCTACGGTCAGGCAGTCAATTACCACATGTTTAACAAGACTCAGGCCAAAGTCGGCGCCACATATTACCAGGGCTACCACACAGTGCTTAAAACGAGCCACGATTACTACTCTGCGCTTAAAGGTGCTAGAGGAGTCGCTGCCAACCTTATAGAAACTCTGAACAAGAACTTGAAGGAACAAGGGAAGAATACAACAGTGAATGTGTTCCCATACTCTGTGTTCTACGTATTCTATGAACAGTATTTGACCATGTGGCCTGATACGCTGAAGTCTATGGGCATATCTGTCCTATCTATCTTCATTGTAACCTTCTTGTTGATGGGCTTCGATCTGTTCTCTGCATTAGTAAGTAAAAAAAGAAATATTTAAAAATCTTGGTATTTGTTGTTGATGTTGGTATTGATTGATGTTTTTGTTACCAGGTGGTAGTTATTACGATCACAATGATCGTCGTGAATCTCGGAGGATTGATGTACTGGTGGGGCATCAGTTTGAATGCAGTATCACTTGTTAATTTGGTACGTATTCGTCTATTTAGTTTACATTTTTATAAATATTATATTCAAGAAGACAAAGAGAGAGAGAGAGGAAAACGTTTTGGTACATTTGGTGACTTTTTTGCCATCCGTTAGAGCGGTTGGGCATGTCGACTATATATAGCATAGATACGCCAGGAGTTTATTTATTTAATAAGAGGTTTAGAAGTTTAGGTTTGAAACCTGGAAAATGTGTTTTTTTTCTGAATTATATAAATAATCTTAAAAATTACATATAATTCAGAAAAAAAAACACATTTTCCAGGTTTCAAACCTAAACTCCTCCTCGATTTAAACCCTTGAACCTTTAGATTTTTGATTTCTAAATTATATTTGAAATAGCCAATCCGTCTTGAGCAAGCATGGTGATTAATGCTCCAATGAGAAGAGGCCATTGCCCAGTACTGAGCACTTATGGGCTGACGATGTTGATGATGAGACACAGTTTAGCGGGTGCTAAGTTAAGCGTTTCATAAGTGAAGCGTGTTGTAACTTCTCCGTGTGAGAAGAGATCATTGTTCAGTAATGTGCATCATATGGGGCTTATGATGTTGATGATGTGACAAAGTCAAGCAGGCGCTAAGTCGAATGTTAAAATGTTAAAATCAACTATCTAACCAATCAGATGACTTGACAAGAGATTAAATTGATTTTAACATTGATCGGCCTTTCGGAAACCGGGTGTAAGTTAAGCAGGCGCTAAGTCGAGCGCTACCGAAGTGACTGTGTTGTAATGTGGAGCGTTTGCAGGTGATGGCGGTGGGTATCGCGGTGGAGTTCTGTTCTCACGTGGTGCACGCGTTCAGCGTGGCGGGCGGCGCGGGGCGGCAGCAGCGCGCCGCCGCCGCGCTCACCCGCATGGGCTCCTCCGTGCTCTCCGGCATCACGCTCACCAAGTTCGGCGGCATCATCGTACTCGGCACTGCCAAGAGCCAGATCTTCCAGGTACACTACTTACCTTACTACACATTTCTTTGTTATATACACGTCGCCAAACAGACACACGGATTACCTAATGGTAAGCGATCTGCGCCGCCCATGGACATCCGCAACAACAGTTTAGAAGAGAAATGGTCGTCACCGCACTCGTAACTCCTCCGTCGTTGCAAGTGTCCATAGGCAACACTGATCGATTACCATCAAGTAATACGTCTGCTCGTTTACCGACCTATCACATAAAAACAAAAATTCGGTTAAGTATTTGTAGTTTAAACATATTTAAACCCAAGATCCAATTTTTTAAACAGATTTTTTAAGTTAACTTAATTAAACTATCAACATTATTTCTAAGCCAAAGCCCGATAGCTATAATCATTAAATTTCAATTACAGATCCAGAGTAACTTTCTCAGTACATCGTATTAATAATAATACAAATTCTAATACGTCGACATTTCCAGGTGTTCTACTTCCGCATGTACCTGGGCATTGTGCTACTGGGCGCGGCGCACGGTCTCATCTTCCTGCCCGTCATGCTCAGCTATATTGGTAAGTCACACTCATTATAATCTAACTAGGCCTTACACGTAATTAATTAGAAATAATATCGTATTATAATCAAATAAAGTTGCATTTTGCATGAGAACCCCTTCGCATGGAGACTACAATACATATTAGTCAGTCTTTATTCTAAGTTTTCTACAGATTATATTTTTATTAATCAGTTCTCTCAAACATATATTTTTCTCGGTTATGTACTCAGGTAAAATCGTATCCTATTTCTTGTCCTCTAAGATTTGATTTTACGTGTCAGGCCTCGTTTCAACTATATGTCTCGCACACACGATTTGACATTTTATTTGTATTTTTTTTTTATTATAAGTTTTTCCGTTACGGTCTTGCATGCAATGTCTTTCGTTTTTTTTTTATATTACATTATTTTGTCTATGCACCTTTTTTATTTAAACTTTCGCTTGTATATTGGACCTTTTTGATAGATGTTTTAGAAAAAGCAGTACGTGACTTTTTGTTTTTTTTTTAATTCGCCTTTACTAACTCATGACGGTTGTTAGTGCCTTACTAACTACAAGTGACGCAGGTAAATATTTAGAGTTATAAGCTTAAGCTTTTTATGGCAACGTGTATTGTTTTTGTATTTAAATATGATGTAAAGGTTACAGGTGATGTATTTGTTACATTTACTAAATTGCGCTAGTCAATTCCAAGTCATAGATGCCCTATTTTAATTATTTTGAAGTGCACTCTATTTACTTACTACACATATAGTTTTAAGGGCGACTTGAAGTTGAGTAGTGTTTAAGTGTTTGAGTACAGTGTCGAAATGATTTAGATATACTTTCCATAAGTTTTTCAAATTGATTGTTTTCCATTTATTACATATAAAGTCTTATATTATACATAAAAAATAGGGCTTGAACCTATAAAACCTAGACCATATTTTAAACGGTGAAGTAATCGAAATCCTAAAAAAAATAAAAAATAAAGCTATCGGGTGCCACGGCTTCGAAGTGTTGAACTAACTTCAAGTTAGTCTTTTTTATCACGAATTAGCGCCATAACCAAGAGAAATCGAAATTCAATAGGTAGAATGGGAATGTTTTGAACTAGGGTAGCGAATACGTCAATTTAGTAAAAATGGAGAGAGGAGATCGTCGATTAGACAGTTTTTATTGTTATGACTCCATATTTACCGAACAGTACAAAGTTAAAGGCAAATAAAAACCACTCATAAACATTGCCTGTATGTTTGCAAAAAACGTTCTAAGTAATATCTCACTATTTCGACCCAGTACCGTCACATTTCATTTCACTATGATATTCTATTATTTCGAAGTCGTCTTTTTGTAACTAGGACGACTCCGATTCATAATGAGTAGCCATATATTATAAACAAATTAAATACTCATAAACGCTTATTTTATATCAACTTTGATCATCGTAACCTCACATCATGGCATATTAACATATACAGTAGCTAGATACATGTACATAGTTATACCGTACAGTGTGATAACACGCATGATAAGAAATTCCGTCAGGCAGGTGACTCGAATCCTCGTTACAGGTTCCCCAGTCAACAAACAGAAGCTCGCCAACCAACTCCTGCGCAGCAAGGACGTCGCGGTCGCTGAGACGTCGCTCACTCGAGTAAGAGACGCGAGGGGACACCCATACAACCACTATAACTTTGAATCGCTTCCCGCGTGAACTTGACTATAGCGAGAATGAACACGTACGTACAACGAACAGACGGACTATTTCATATAGAAGCATAGAACACGGTGGAACAATTAATTTATAGTTTATAGTAACCCCAGTTACATAGCTCATTACATTAGTCGTTTGAATGTGTACATTGAAACACCCGATCTTAAATAAGTTATTAATGACACGGGTATTTCAAGTATTGTTTGATTCCTTAGCTGAGATGCATAGAGAGTACCTCTTCGTCTAGCCATTCGTCCGCCGTGCCTTCACATAGAACATAGATGAAAAAAATAATTGCAATTTGTTTAGTTCATTCTCGTTACAAGTTCCCGTACTAACGCATCGGTGTATTGTAAAGTGGGGAGGTGGTGCAACCAGGATGCGTCTGGTAGACCCATCGAGCATTGTAGCACAGGAACAGGCCCTATAGTATTAGCGTTGCTGATACCCTCACCACTACCTGACATTTCTATGACTTAGACCGACTTCTCTAGATATTCATTACAAATTATATAAGGTAAGTAACAAAATTAAATTTTATAATTATTATTATTATTATTCGCCAAAGATTTTTTGCATACGTTTTTGGTTCGAGTGATATTTTAAGTCAGTCTACAGTCACACAAATGTCGGCGCGGGAGTATGGTTCTCTTCCCATTAATATTGTTGAAAGCATTTATTGTATACGACGGTAATTGTGATTTGTAACATTTTGGTTTACATGTTACGAACAAATATTCCTAATTGATCATTTGTAGAAGCTTGTAGTGTCAACGAAAGTGTTGGAATCACACGTGCCGTGGCAAGGGGTTGGTTTCTAACCAAAATGGTTGATGGGACACCCTTTTATGTTAAAATATCACGAATATCATATTTTTATTGTAATTTGCATGTATCGATCGTTATATTCCTAATTGTGTAACGGTAGCGATCATTCCTATTGAGTTCGAATTTAAAATTATTATTTTTTAACATTTTTTTTATTTATTTTTGTATATTTATGATTTTCTGACACTGCCTTTGTTTTGTTTTGCACATGCTAGAGTACTTACTGTATAAGCTTGAAGCTAGACGTATTAGTTAGCTAAATAGAACCGAAATAATAATAGTTTGAGTTATTCTATCGTTACAAGTGTACACGCGACAGATGCAATATATTACTTATAGTACTTACACAAACAGTACTTAAATCAACAAGGCAGTGGTGTAGCAAATCTCTAATGGCTAAATAGAAAATAATATTTATTTATTTAATTAGTACCGCAGGCGTAACGTAAATGGCAAGAGCAGTTTAGAAAATTGACAAATTAGGCACAATTGTCTTCAGTTCTTGTACACAAAAATAGGATAGTAAAAATCATCAAAATTATTTAAATTATATTACAAACTCGAATCCTAGTTACGCCTGAATGAAATAATTACATTATAACTAGCGCAAATCAAGATAGGCGCAAAGTATATTCCATTAATGTGAGAATTCATTGAATTGATATTTATTTGCACGCTTATCGTAGAGTTAGTTAGGGACAGCCTGTATCTTAGATTAGTTTGTTTGTGTGAGAAATTGACGTTCCCTGTGAAAGTCTGAGGGCGTATATGTTGTGTGCAATGTTCTATATATACACGTAGTACCACTGATATTAAGATACACAGTGTGATTTTTATAGAATAGAAGTTTTATATAGAGACTTGCCAACACATACACAATTTTGGCATTTTGATATCAGTGTAGTCCTATATTGTGTAGTCGTCAGTATTAATGTGTATGGATTATAACACCAGTGTTTTTTACTAAAACTTTATAAAATATATTTTTATTTTTTGTTTTTTTTTAATTGAATAGGTATATTTATAACTTTTTCAAAGAAAGAGGTTACAAATCACTACTAATAGTTAATAGGATGTGCCGGTTTCGTTAATGATTACGTTCAATTTCTCCACATTACAACGTAGGCTTCTTGTGAACACATTGTATTGTATTTTTATGTTCTTCTCGTAAATTCTGACTAACAAAAGGGAAATGATAAAGTACTAATGGTATGAGCTGACGCTTGGTGTTGGTCGACTTGCTCCTTCAATAATATATAGCTTTAAATGCAAGGAGCCGTCTGTCTTTACAGGTACATCTGTAAAACGACACGGAAATTGAGAACAAATTATATATTTTAGTCGAATGACGTTGTTATGTACAATCTGTATTATTGATTTGTGATCCTTGAGAGATTTCGATTACTTTAAGAACCCTCTGAGTTCCTACTAAAGATAAATGTTATATTATTCCTTAGAGAATGCCAAATGCTGAATGAAATTGTTAAAGAAATTATCACAAACTATGGGAATCTCCTACTTAATGTTAGTACTTACTTAATATAGAGGGAAATAGATTTGTATTGAAAAGCACCACATTGTCAGGCAGATTTTGTGATAATAAAATAAATTATGCTTTTTTAATTCTTTGTTTTTGTTTTATTTTTTAGTTATAAAGCACCTATGCATGGTATGAGTGCACAGCTCAGTGTCGCCAGGTATGCATTCAGTTTATGCATGTAAAGTTTCATTCTAGAATATATCGCTCATCCTAAATGCAGATTAATTAGCAGTTAACATTTAGCGTACTCTTAGCACTAAGTACCCTTATACCGCACTCAAAGCATGGCCTCGTTAGCATAGCATCATCAAATATGTATGTTCATGACATGAAGCATAGAAGCAACGCATAGGCAAATAGTATAAAGGTACAACTAGGAAATAAAGGTCCAATGTACAACTAAATTTAATTATAAACTTTTTCCTTATGCCAAAGGAGCTTCTCAGCCCGACCCCAAACAATGTAAGAAATACTTTTTATTACAACAAGCACTATCACTTAGTTTGTACGACGTTGGAAACTGATTGAAGTGCACAATATAGTTGGCCACGTAGTCTTAAAAATGTTCTATTTGTCATCACTCTATTGATCAACGAAATAGAATATATTTTTAAGAATTCAAATTACTTCAATTGTGCACATAATCAATAAAATTATTTGTTCACGGTATATGGGACACACGTGTATGTTACAATTGTGAAACATAAAATTACTCTCATAAATGTTATCTTTATAGATATTCGATATGCCAACAGTATCAAGATAATTATTTCCTTATCGATTCAAATAATAATTTCTAGTATCGATACCGCTGACTTTTATATAATAAACAGATTACAATACAAGGATATATTATTTTAATTGACCTAGCAACAATCTAAATTATTCATCATATTTGGTCACATTCATATGTAAAATAAAACCATCTTACTGCGAAATATTCGGACTGAAAATATCAGTTTTTTTTCTATCTGTTGAAGCATTATTATTATGTGAAGCAAGCCTACCTAACTAGTGACATTTTACACGATAGCATCGACCCACAAGTGTACATAAATGTATCTAATCTAGAAGATCACTTCACCCATCCGTCCATGCTTGTTTACCACGTCTAATGAAACTCAATGTACCGCATGAAAAATTGGCAATGATACATGTTTCTAGATGTTTTCAGAACTCTGGCATGAACGTATCAAGAATGGAAGATGTTGTATATTGTAGTTAGGGGACTGTGTAGTCCAGTCGGATGTCATGACAAGTTTGGTGTTCCGTCAGGCATAACCCGGCGTCGGGGACGTTGGCGAGTGCAGTCGCGGCGCAGTCACACCTACGGCAGTCTAGACGAGACGCCGAGTGAACCGCGCGCCTCAAGCAGTGGCACCGTCAACGGCCTCACCGACGAAATGTGAGCACGCACTAAGATTTACACAGTACGGTGAGTCGTGCACCACTTTGTTCCCATACTGTACCTAGCTAGTAGGCGCCCTATTGTGTACATCTTAGCCCCAAACAGTGAAGGAAATGGACTCGAAAAGTGAACTCTGTAGCGAAATTGTAGTGTTAGTTAGGAATGAAATATGACTGTTACGAAGGACGACGTGTAACATCTCCAACCTTACGTTCTTAAACATAAGGTTGTAAATGTTAAATGTTGATAAATCTTGCGGTTTGAAGGATTATGTACCCAGCAAGATAGCTTCGCTTGTGATATGTACATTAGGTATAAGTATATAATTATGATCTAAATATGTGGTTTATATAAAATTATAAGGGTATCTATGAAACAATTCGGGAGCTTTGTAATTTTTATAAATTATATTCTAAATACACATTATATCAAGATATAAAATAGAGATAATACAATTTAAAATATGAAAATATATATAATCTTTATAAAATATCAAAAATAGATGATATATTTTAATTTAGTTATTGCTATTTGTTTTACATTATTATGGATACTGCACTGTTGTTGCAAAATTATATTTTTCTCTTTATTTTTTACTTTTCATCCCTGAAAACTTGGTACATCGAATCGTATTACACTCTTAATATGTAAAAAAAAAAATATCCAAACGCCATCAGGTCAACTCTTCTCCAACCGTATCATTTTTTCAACAGATTCTCGACTTTATTACAAGAATATAAATTTGAAAATGTATTACATTAGAAAAATTGTGTATGTAAAATATAGTGATATGAGGAAAATGACAATTCCTTATATATTTTCAACGTTACTGTTTTGATACAAAGTTGAAAATTCAATGAAAAAAACAGTAGGAGAAGAATGACCTGCTGGCTGTTGTACCAAACATACTTATTTTTTTATAGAAATTTGATTGTACGTTCCAAAATAGTGATGTTTAAAGTATTAGCTAACATAGAATCTATTATATATGTATTTGTATATAAAGATCAAAACTTTATACTTACATAGTAGAAAATGACAACCTAAAGTTGACATTTTGATATTATTTTATTTCTCATTCTAACTGATATATTAGGTGAAGTTATAGAACTTTATAAACTATGGACTATTCTGAGTGAAACACTATACTTAATAATTAGTTGCACTTATTTTACAATTTTATGGATATACTATTTCTATCTCAAAGGCCTATGTCAAGACCTTAAAAATAAATTTGTATTTACCCTTGATTACTATTTCTCAAATTGTCTACGTAGTTCATAATATAATATGGAGACACTCTTGTCTGGCTAAATCAAAATCTGTTTTTTTTTTCTGAAGCAATAAAAGTGAGTCGTTTCTTCAATGTTTGCAACAATGATTGATAGAACTTTGTGACACTCAGAATTATTTAGTCATAATTTAGATCATAGACTTAATAACGATATGTAAACACATTTTGAAGTAATATAATACATTACATGTATTTATCATGTTCTGTTTTTGAAAATATCAATGTTACCACATCGTGATAATTTTTTGAAAAATAGTAGGTTTTTCTAATAAAGTCTTGCGTCTTAGGTTTTCTTGCCTTTCTTTTATCTGTATAGAAAATGTATAATATTACTTCAAAATAAAATAATTTTAGTTATTAAAGAACCCGAGTACCTATCCAAAGGTTAGTTAAAATAAAAAAAATGATATTAAGCTTTCAATGTTTAGAAAAATGTTAATTAATATGTTTGGCAACATAGGTGTAGATAGAAAAGTGGTTGTTAAAGGAGGTATGATAATTTAAAGTGTAAGGGAAAGTCAATTTGTTATTGTAATATCGTTAATCTTCTAATCATCTTGTGTACAGCATGTCCAAAATATCTAGCCACTCGTGTGAGTAGGACGGACCAAGCACTAGGTAGGATGAGTGAAAGAGATAGACACACACATGGGAGGTCAAGATATATTGTACGTTTTGTAATCTCATCTTGACTGCTAAATATAAGAATAGCAAAGCTTTCTTTCGCCTGTGCCTTTGAGAGTCAATTTGACGCTAAAGCATAGGCTAAAATTGAGAATGAAATTGATCTTTTTACTTAATAAAATATGCTTTTATAACGCAAGTTAATAATGCCATGCTATTCATTCGAAGTTGACAATACCTAAGTAATGTTCGTATAATATGCGGTCAAAAATGTCGTATTTTATAAGACAAATACTGTCATTTATAGGTAGACTTCGCTTTTTCAAAGCATGGCATGAACGACGGTATTGCCAAATATGAAAATTAGTAAATGTCAAAAGAAATGTGACATATTATTGTGCACTCTAATGACAGGCATGGATAAAATATGTTTTATTTAGTTATGATACTGAAATTACGTTATAAATCGGATCGGATCGAAGATTTAATTTGAAATTATCTTTTTAAAATAATTATTATCACAAAGATATCAGCTAGAGATACGAAGTAAATCACTCGAATGATTCTTCCTCGTTTTAGCTTACGGTATAACATCATAACTCTATAGTTTAGATTCAATACTACTTGTGTACAAAACTTACTATCCATAGTAATAAGTACTGCTCTATGTATACTCTGTGGAATCTATTTTTTGAACATTTATGTAAATATCTTTGTCAACAAACCTTTTTTCTTTTTGTCTTGTATTCAGTCTGTTTGAGTTTCATATATTCCAATTTCAAAATTATAAAAAAACAATCATTTCTAGTCTTGCTATTTCTTTTTAATTGGATCTCTTTTCAGTTTGACTTCTAATGCTTAGTTATTCTCATTTTAATTTGGTTTTTGACTTAATGTACATTTGTACTTACTGGTGTAGGTATAACAGTGTTGTATATAATGTTAATTACAATATTTGATGTCTATTTAAAGTTTTTACTAGTGTAATTTGTACCTATCTAGAGTCTTATGTTTTACCTCACAAGACGAGCGATTTATGTAAAATCTGTGTAATAGAATTTTTAATAAACAAGAGGAAAATCAAATAATTTTAGTTTTTTTCATTTTTAATAATTTTCATATTAGTTGGAGGCGTTAAAATAAGTAAACAGTTATGGATCGTAACAATATGATATATTATTAACAAAACGTAAGTATTTACAATTGAACAAGGATACATTTTAACACCGTGATGACTAGATTCATTTTGTATGTTTGAGCACAACATTTCCCGCACATTCTCCACGTAACTCATTAAACTAACTGCCGTTGCTTATTAATAAGTAATATTAAATTAAATTCGCATGAAAACCCGCTGCTTTCTTCGTTCGATACCTATACTTAATATAATTATAATGATACCATAATATATAATAAATAAGATATAAACGACAAACGGGAAAACAACATTCCAAAAATTATACAATACAATATTTTTCAATAAACACCTTAAAAAGATTGACATAAAACGGAGTAGAAGAACAATAATAAATAGTAAGTATACATTATTAATTAGTATAATTTAACTTTTGGTTTGTTATGCAATATAGTGCAGGATTATAAAATTATTTGAACAAGTTTCTAGCAAAACAAATACTAATACAATACATATTAACAGAAAATAATAAACTCTCTAAATACACCCAAATAAAATAATATTTGGGGATCTTTACGTAATTGAGAACGCATCACAGATTCAAAGACTAGCATTATTATGGTTTATTTATAATCTGTATCGACGCAGTGTTTGGTTATTTTTGGCGCGTTGAAAATATAAATGTAATTTTGTAAACAAGTATTCGACTGTAATGTGTTCGCGATTCATAAACATGAAATAATATGTAATTTTGACTTTAATGAAGCAATTACTTCAAAAGGTAAATTGCAATTTATAGAATACTTAAGCACGTCATACAGTTGTTCTATTATTAAATTGTTATTTTGTTTTGAAATAATTTTATTACTTCCGCTAACTTTAGTTGTTACTTGATAGGTGTGTCAGTCATTACTGTGGCCGCTACTATACGGAGTAAGGCCTTATTATAGTTATTAATTATAGTTCTAAAGGTCCAAATAAGTGTTTTGCTTGGCAGTCGTCACCAGCATCGCCGAGGAACTGAGCGAAGAGTTCCTGATATCTCGATAGAGTAAGACCTCCCTTTCTTCTGTCGTCATCCTGAAAAGCAAAAATTTCATTGTTAATGAAACAAAATGTTATGTATGAATAAATTAGTTGCTTAAATCTTTTTCCTTTTCTTGTCTGGTTTTTATCTACATTCTACCCAACAAGCGGCGGCTAAGGCAACTTTCACGTCAAAACTTACAATCACTTTTTTGTGGAGGGAAAATCAAATGATTTTTCTCGTCCAAGATATGGCAAGTGGGAGTGTCAGACTCGCGTGCGCTTGACGCAACCCTAACAAGGGTCGCCTACCGGTGCCTACCTACCTACGGGTACCTACTGTCTATATTTGCCAATGTCAAACTAGCAAGCAAAAGAAGTAAATAAATAATCAACAATTTTTCCACGAAATTGCTATGATAGTGCCTTTTTCACCTATGGTCCCTCGAGGATCGATCTTTTATACAAAGTGATAGGTACCTATATTTTAATTCTATGATTGAGAATTCAACGACCGAGAATTAAACTCATCACGTAACCTAGAATTTTCTTAAATTTTGCGTTAAAGATGTGTTACGTCACATGTCACTAAATCTCCTTTCATTGGACACCTGTAGGCGCGGCGGCATAAACAGACATCCGCCTGCCAATTTGCTTGTGATCCACGCAGTAATTGGTCTTGAAGCGTGGAAGAAGTGTTAAATAGAAGACGTGCCTACACCACTCCCGTACGCAACGCTTGGCATACCGCCAAGAAGAAAGCTCTCTTTATTGTTTTATTCGTCTTGTTGCATAATTTTATTTCTGGTTATCGCATATTACCTATGCTGTTATTTCTGTATCCTATCTGCTATATTTAATTCTCTAAAGATACAACATCATACACTAGTTCTATGTTTTGCAAAAAATATATTTTACGATGTTTTTATTTTTTATTGTGCGGTCGTAGACGCGTGGCGTAAGAGACATTATGTATACTCTTTTATTATAAATGTATTGAACATTTCTTAATTCGACACAAAATATAGGTAGAAATAAAAACTTTTAACTAATGGTAAATGTTAAGAGCTCACTATAAGAATAAAAACCTCATTGGATTCCGTTTAATATATTGAGTTGCGTGGGCAGATACCTTGTTCCATAATGTTTAGGTACTGAAACCAATATTATACGAAATCTATTTTTTCTGTTTACCTACATTTTGCTCAAAATTCTCTTTGTATTAATAAGTCAAGATTTTAACGTATTTTACACACCCATTTCGAAACCATCCATCAGAATGATATTGCCACTCAAAACTTTCTGCGTCATAAATCTTAGAACAGTTTAAGAGCTAAAACATCGAGTGATTCTCTGAATTGTTTTACGAGTTACGAAGAAAAACGTTGAATTGCAATAGTTGATCTTTAATGGAA